CAATATTCAGTTTCTTTACTGAGTCATTTAAGCTTACTATGTAAAGTGTCTTTCAGTCATGCCCCCACCCCACCCCCCAAAAATGGGAGCATATGTGAAATAATGCAATGAAAACTCAAGGTCAGCACCTAAGAAGCAAAAACAGCCCTAAAAATACAGCAATGCAAAAATTGGTTATGACATGCATGCTTTTTTTGAATAAGATTCAACCCAATTCCAGAGTACAACAGACACACAAGGTAGGATGGAGGATATACAGCCAGAATACTGCTGAAAAAAAAAATAATAAAAGATAAGGAAATTAGTCAGGACACTGAAGTAGGGTGAAATCAGAAAGAAGCAACTTTGGAGAAGACTTGGACTAAAATCTCATATCTCAAGAAATTAGGTCAGCTTAGAACATAGATGAAGAAAAGTATCCCAATATTATTAATCTTATAAGCATACCATGTATAATACAACCTACAAAAGTAATATAAAACCTTAAGAAATTTGATTTGGCACACTGAACAGGAGGAAGAGTGTATTAGATGAATATAGTTTATCTAACAATAACCAGAACAAGGCAAACAAAATCTGCTAAGTCTTTAACAGATGAAGAACTAAATACACATGTTTTATTCAAAAGAATTTCTATAAAAGTATATAACCTTTCCAATTCTTACTTGTTTAAAATCTTTTTATACAGACTTGAAATATCTTCTTTATTCATGCTGGACCCCTTAAAAAGACTATTGCTATAGAGGATTTACACATGTTTAAATGATCTACAGATTCATAAATCAGCCTGTAATTTGAAATATCTCTTCCTTCTGCTTTCATTGATGCTTTTATAACTTATGAAACTTTTCAGTAATTGATGTTAATAAACAATATTGTCCTGTACACATGTTTTGCATCCTTCCACAAGAATAGTCTTCAAATTTCCTATATAAAGCATTGTCAGTTATTATTCATTTTTTATTAGTAATTTTTTCATGTTCTGTAACTATAAAGTTGTTACTAGCATAGATCAGAAATACTAATGGTACTTTCATATCTTAACTATAATGTACTTTCACAATATGACAGTCTCCAAATAATAATAATAATAATAATTACCACCACCCTCACTTGTGGTTTATTTATTCCCATTATATGCTGCTTGATTAATGGTTGTAAATCAACAATCTAACAGTTGTAATGAAAAGCAACAGAAAATAAGTTGAAGGCTAGAGTTATATCCAAATTAATTTAATCCTTTTATATTATCTAAAAACTATCAGGGCATCACTCTGCTAAAATGTTATTGATTTTAAACTCATGTTAGCCTAAAACAAAGTTTCATTCCTGTAAGGTCTTGTGAGTAGTTAGTAGAATATGGTAGGTTTTATTTATTATAATATTCTAAGAATAACACAAGCAGATCTTTATTGTCAGGAACGAGTGAAGATTTGGTCAACATAAAATGTAAGCTTGTACTAAAAAATGAACTCGGGATTAAAGTAAACTATTATAGTGGAATATTTTAACAAATCCTCAAAACTCAATTCTTAGAATTTCTATTTAATAAGATCATTAGAATATTTTTGTGGCAAAACCTATAAAAATAAAAACTAGAATAATTCACTATTAAGAGAATTATTTTTTATCAAAATTCTGGATTCTTTCAACAAAGAATAAAAGAATTATAAAATTAAAGGAACAAAAGAATTACTTTCATAGAGACCGATTTATAATTGCTAATAATTAATAAATTTGTTATATTTGAACTGTTTTTTGTACTTTCTCTAAAAATAGATTATTTTTCAATTTAATAAAGAATCCCATGTAAGGAAATTCTTGTCTTTCTGAAAACTTTAAAAAGTAAAGAATATTTTGGAAATTAGTCCTTCAAAAATGAAAAAATACTTAAAGAAAATTTTAAGTTTCTCTTTTCTTTTTCTTTTTTTAATTTTCACTCTTTTCCTTCTTTCTTACAGAAACAACAGGGAGAGATGGCCAGTCCGTAAGCAGCTCGAATGGAACATATTTGAGAATTAACTCTTTCCATAAATTTAATGGATGATTCAACTGTGACCAGATCATCTGCATCTGGGCAACAGATGACCAATCAAAACAACAGTACATCTCCTTCTCGCTCTGGAGTGTCAGTGCTTGAACACTCGGACATACACCAGACAACAGCAAACCTCTCAAACCGGGAGCTTATCAGCTTAACTCATTTGAGACCAGGACCCCGGCCACAGAATGAATATGTGGATTCAACACTCTCCTCAAGCAAACTACCTCCATCATCGTCTTCATCAACTGTCACTGTTGTGAAGCCATTGCAGAGCAAAAAATTACAAGCAGAGAGCCATTTGTTGCAACCACACAGATTTTCAAATTCTTCTTTGAACACTGCAACTCATTCGAGCCCGACTTTAACGATCGGTAATGAAAATAGTAGAAGTGGCCCTGGTATTGCCGGTACCATCAATGTTAACACTGGTGCTATAACTGGAAATGGCGGTGGTGGTGGCAGCAGCAACGGCGGTGGTGGTAGTGGTGGTGCCATCTCAGGTGTAAGACGGTCAAGAGGTACCATTAACCCTACTGTTATATCAAACCAGCCAATTTCAAATCAAACATTGAAAAAGGTTACTGCCAACGTAGCTGTAGATTTGGAGAATCGAGTAGGAAGTGTACACAGAGATTCAGTTATCTGCAGCAAATGTGGGAAATGCAAATGTGGCGCTTGTCGAGAACCAAGGGAACTGCCTTCTTGGTGGTTCTGTGGAAAGAAATTTGAAATAAGTGCCAAGTCTGCTGTGAATATTTGTACATGTGTATGCTGTGTTAAGGGAGTGTTTTACCACTACTCAAAGGACTACCAGCAGGACTCTGTAGATGGAATGTGCTCTGATGAACCTTGTGCTGGCTGCGAAAGGCCCCAGTGCTTAAAACGTTGGGCTTGTATGGCACTTTTGTCCCTGTGTTTACCTTGTTTGTGCATTTACTGGCCTGCAAGGTGTGCCCTTGTCTGTTGTACTGCATGTTATAATGGTTGTAGTAGCAGGGGATGTCAATGTTCAAATAGTGAAAATAGAGCTGCTTCAACCTCGCAGACAAGACGACTAATTGAATCTGATGGGTCAAGCGCCTGAAAAAAAATAAAAACATTTAAAAAGATGAAAGAAATTTTAAATCAACAACAGAAGGAAACTTACACAAAAAAAAACAAAAAAAAAGAAAAGAAAACAGAATCAGCCATGAAATATTGGCAATTATCCATTGAGAGAAAGAGAGAAAGAAAGGAAGGAAGAAAGAAAAAGAGTGAGAGAGAGAAAAAGAGAAATACAGAAGAAGAAAAAATATTTGTTGTTTTATGTAATATTAAATAATTCTTTAATCCATAGGGCAGCCATTTTTGTATGTATGTGTATTTTTGCCTATACTTGGTTCCCTGCCTCATGATGCTAAGTTATAGAAAAGCATGATATTTCTTTTGAAGAGGCATTGCCTTAGATGATTTGTGTATTTATTTACACAAGCTTTTTTTACTTATCTTTTTTTTTTTTAATTATTGTATTTCTTTTTTTTATTTTATTTTATTTTTGTCTCTTAAAACAAACTTGGGACAAAGTTTAAAACAATTGGCAAATCAGTTGGAACAAATTTTTTTTTGTATAATATTTTTATTGTTTTTTTTATTATTTAAAATATTATATTAATTAATATTAATAATATTAATTTTGTATGTTATTTATCTATTGGTTTATTATTATTTTTTATTATGAGAACAGAAGTGCTTTTTTTATCAGTTACCAACTGCAGGACTACTGAAGAATTCTAGATTTGTAACATTTTTAATTAATGTAAAATAGACTTTGGGTTATTGATAATATTTTATGGATATTCATACAATATTTATAAAAAAAATTGAGAAAATGAAAGAAAGAGAGGAAAAGAATGAAAGAAAGAAAATGTTTTCTGCCTATTATAATAAACAGACAGCCAAATTACATTAAGATAATTTTATTTGAATCAAACATTATTATTATTATTATTATTATTATTAATTATTATTAATTTCAAATGTTTTACCTTATTTATCTTTTGAAAATATTATCTTAATGTTCATAGATTTTTAAAATATTTCTTTTATTATTTTTCTTTATTAATGGAAATTATGACATTTGTCTCATAAACTTTTGATTTCTATTGTATTAATATCACTTATTTATTTTCAATGATTTTTTTTTACCATTTGCCTGATTTGTTTGAATTTCAGTAATGAAATTATGTTATTTTTATTATTTTTCTTTTTTTAATTCTTTTCTTATTGCTTTTTCACTGTACTTTTGTTGTTATTATTAATGTTATCATAATTATTTATGCTATTCATTAAATATTTATGAATGAGACAGAAAAGAGTTATAAAGATGTTATCTTTGCTATTTGTAAACAGACATTTCATAGCAATCTCAGTTGAATGTTGAGAAAAATAATTTTACAAAAAATGAAAGAAAAAACAACAAAAAAGAATATTAAAATTCTAAATATTGCAGTTTTATTTTTTTTTTTTACAAAATAACAAACGAAATTTGAACAGCAAAAAAATTTCCATTGAAATTTTTTGATTTTTATTAAATGGCTGCTCAGTAGATTGAAGGTTGGCAGATATTAATGTATTATTTTGTTTCATCATATGTTATATATAAGTTATATATATATATATATATATATATATATATATATATATATATATATATATATATTTTTTGTTTTTCCTCACCAATGGTAATATAAATTTATTGTTTTGTTTTGTTTAATTTTTTTTTTTCACAGTATTCAAATATACTTCTGCTAACTACCTCTAATTGTAATACACACTTGCTAATTTTTCTAATGGATTTTTTCCTCAATTCATATACATCCTTTCACAATAATTTGTTACATTTTATCTTTCTATGGTACACATATCTATAAACATATTAGTCTATCCTAACAAATTTTCTTTTTTTACCACAGTGTAGGTTCTTATCCCCCACTCTTTCTCTATCTATCAATCTACCTATTTCTATTTGTATCCCCCCCACCTCTTTCTCTATCTATCAATCTACTTATTTCTATTTGTATCCCCCACCTTTTCCTCCATCTATCAATCTACTTATTTCTATTTGTATCCCCGACCTTTTCCTCCATCTATCAATCTACTTATTTCTATTTGTGTCCCCCCCTCTTCCTCCATCTATCAATCTACTTATTTCTATTTGTCCCCCCTTCTCTTCCTCCATCTATCAATCTACCTATTTCTATTTGTATCCCCCCCACCTCTTCCTCAATCTATCAATCTACTTATTTCTATTTGTATCCCCCACCTTCCTCCATCTATCAATCTACTTATTTCTATCTGTATCCCTAACCTCTTCCTCCATCTATCAATCTACCTATTTCTATTTGTATCCCCGACCTTTTCCTCCATCTATCAATCTACTTATTTCTATTTGTATCCCCCACCTCTTCCTCCATCTATCAATCTACTTATTTCTATTTGTATCTCTAACCTCTTCCTCCATCTATCAATCTACCTATTTCTATTTGTATCCCCCACCTCCTCCATCTATCATCTATCAATCTATCAATTATTTTATTTGTCCCCCACCTCTTCCTCCATCTATCAATCTACTTATTTCTATTTGTATCCCCCACCTCTTCCTCCATCTATCAATATACTTATTTCTATTTGTATCCCTAACCTCTTCCTCCATCTATCAATCTACTTATTTCTATTTGTATCCCCCCACCTCTTCCTCCATCTATCAATCTACTTATTTCTTTTGTATCCCCACCTCTTCCTCCATCTATCAATCTACTTATTTCTATTTGTATCCCCCACCTCTTCCTCCATCTATCAATCTACTTATTTCTATTTGTATCCCCCACCTCTTCCTCCATCTATCAATCTACTTATTTCTATTTGTATCCCCCACCTTTTCCTCCATTTATCAATCTACTTATTTCTATTTGTATCGCCCACCTCTTCCTCCATCTATCAATCTACTTATTTCTATTTGTATCCCCCACCTCTTCCTCCATCTATCAATCTACTTATTTCTATTTGTATCCCCCCACCTCTTCCTCCATCTATCAATCTACCCATTTCTATTGTATCCCCCACCTTTTCCTCCATCTATCAATCTACTTATTTCTATTTGTATCCCTCCACCTCTTCCTCCATCTATCAATCTACTTATTTCTATTTGTATCCCTCCACCTCTTCCTCCATCTATCAATCTACTTATTTCTATTTGTATCCCCCCACCTCTTCCTCCATCTATCAATCTACTTATTTCTATTTGTATCCCCCCACCTTTTCCTTCATCTATCAATCTACTTATTTCTATTTGTATCCCCCCACCTTTTCCTCCATCTATCAATCTACTTATTTCTATTTGTATACCCCACCTCTTTCTCCATCTATCAATCTACTTATTTCTATTTGTATCCCCCCACCTCTTCCTCCATCTATCAATCTACCCATTTCTATTTGTATCCCCCCACCTTTTCCTCCATCTATCAATCTACCTATTTCTATTGGCCTACACATTAATCTATCTTTTAGCTATACTATTGTCTTTATCTTTCTTTCATAATTGACAAAAGTATATTTTCAAAGAAACACTGAAAAATCATTTACTTTTCATTCTTTATTATTAAATCTTTAAAAAATATGCACTTCCATACACACAGTTTGAAAATGAAAGAATTAAAGAAATGCAACTTTTTTATATTAGAAATATCAAGAATTTATTAGAATTTATATCTTAAATTCATGAAAAAGAAATCATTGCCTTTATATTTAACAGTCAACTAGCAAATAACTTGACAATTTCTTAAGAGTATAATAACCAATTTAATTTTGAGAGTACTTTTATTCAGTTTCTTTCTTTCTTTCATACCTCAGATGCTGTGCAAGAATTATTTATGAGTTTATTTTGTCATAACTGACTACAATTCTTGAAGCAATTTAAATTACTACTTCAATTTTCCTAAAAAATATTCTTTGTTTCCCTTCTTTCTGTATTATTGTAACTATTTAGAATCTTTAATAATACAGTCACACATACACATAAGATATGTATGTATGTATGTGTGTGTGTGTGTATGTGTGTGTGTGTGTGTGTTATAGGCTAATCTCTAGTACATTGGTTAGTAGAAAATATTGGGATTATTGATATGCAAACAAGAGTAAAATCACTAATGCTATTCTTATTATTAACATCATTTCTTGAGAATAGCCTTTTATTAAGTAATCTATTAAAATATGTTGACTATTTTATTAATTTAAATGTAATAGTGGACTTACTTTGTCTCCTTTTCTCTACAACTAAAACCTTAAGACATAATATATAAATACAGATTACTTGCAGACCACATTTATTTACATACACATATATAAGTATATTAAATATACATGCTGGTGGTTTGGTCCCTTCATATAAAGACATTAGAGTTAGGGTCTTTTTTTTTGTGGACATTCTTTGCTATGAAATCAATGGGAATCAAAATCAAGCCCTATGATTTGGGGTTGAGGAGTCAGTAGGTGGGACTGACCACAAGCCCAGGGCAAAGAGAACTGATCAAATTTTTTCAGGTATTTATTACTCTCAATGTGTACTAAATACTCTAATCTAGTGAACACTAAACAAAACATTGAAATTTTTGTATACTCAAATGACCTCTGTCCATAGTTAAAGGTCTGAGCCTGTAAAACTAATTCTTGGTTTATAAGTATTACACATAGTCTTTGACTTATGATAGTGTTATTATTGAAATAACTGTTCAGATATATTCATTATATAGTGATAAATTAAAATTTATAAAAAAAAAAAATAACTTCAAAATCTTAATGATTGTAAATTTGTTACATTAAAATAATTATAAGTTGGTACTATCTTTATCTGGAAACTTAAGAACATTTTTTATTACTTTTACTTAGTAATTGTATTTCATTAATAAAAGAAATAAACCTTTTAGTTCAGCTTCTAATGATTCATTGAAAATTTATTAAGACATGTCAAAAAAAGAAAAAAATATTTTGGTGAATTTAATTGAAACCATATTAAATTTATATCATATTTATATTGCAACAACTGTATTCATAAATTCCTTAATGATTTTATATTAATAATTTTTTTTCTTTCTTATTCCTGTGACTATCTTATCTCCAAAAATGATACTTAATAAAAATGAGCCAATATAGTATTGAGTCTTTATAAACAGTAAAATTAACTTTATTTTTATATAAGAGGAAATCTTTAGTTGTCCAAACTTCTTACAAAAATATCTTTGTTTTTAATTTCTAACTAGTTTTTCTCTCAATTTATTTGTCTTGTTTTTACACTTAGTAATAATAGTCTTAAGTTGTTTGCATTTCTTAGCTGAAGCATAGTTAGCTAGTTTTTATCTCATCTTATTTCTCTCATTTTTATACCTAATAGTAATACTCTTGCCTGAATTTATTAAATAAAGTACTGTCAATTATTAAATTTTGATTAGGTTTTCTTTCATCTTCATCAATAATTGAGATACACATTCAAATCTCATTATTCCTTATCTCAAATTCAAGTTTCTTGCTAAGCAGTTATAGAACATAAAAGTAATGAGTGTTTCAAAAAGGATTCTGTTATGATAGTAACAAGACAGAAGTACAGCAAGTATTCCTGCCTTCATACAGAGTATTAGTGAGCATAGTGGCACAAAGAGCAACAAAATAGAACAGTATTTATTATTATTATTATTATCTAAACTGTTCAATTTCTTAATCAGACACTTGTAATTAAAGTTATCATAATTTAATTTCATTTAGCATTTCTTTATCTTACTTTGAAAAACTTGTATTGAATTTTGGGATTCTTATTCTAAATTAATGCTTATAATCATTTTTCTATACTCTGCTTCATAAATGATAATGCACTTTTAATTATAGATATCTTACCAAAGTTTACTTTATGAATAGCTTTTTTCATTAAATATCTTAAAACAGAAAATGTAATAGTGGACTTTAACTCCTTTTCTCTACAGGAATTCTTTTTGTTTCCTTAATGTTCTTTATTTGGTGGTGACAGTGAAATTTAGCTATAAAAGAACCACTTGTATCTTCATTTCTTTTCTTCTTTTTTTTCAGTAATATATGATTATCTCTGTCAAAGTTGGTTATGTAGGTAAGAGCTTTTAACAGAGTGGTTTGCCTAAAAACTCATTCACACACTTTCTTTTTCATTAACAATTATGGCATACAAGTGACATGGCTTTATTGTAAGGATATCCAATAATGTCACAGATTGAGAGGAAAAATAGATTCAAGGGCATTACAATGAAATGAAAATTAGTAATATAACTTTGATTTGTCCAGGTTGCGTGCATATATATGTGTGTGTGTGTATGTGTGAAACACATGGTATCTATCTCTGATCAATAAAAACAAACATGTTTTTATTGGTCAGAGATAGATACCATGTGTTTCATTTTATGTATGTTTTAATTCTAGTGGACATTCTGTGCTTATTGACTTAAATGTCTTTTCATGGAATATATATGAATTCAAATGTATGTTCAATACTGTTTAGTTTATTTATGAGGCCTAGTAATTTATTTTTGTATAGGTATATTAATAAGGTACTGAAGATATAGTGTAAGTATTTAGACTTTATGAATAAGATATATGGAAATAGGCTGGGTTCTAAGAACTCTAAAAGGAGGCAAGCTAATATACCACTGAAAGGAGAATCCATAGGGAGACCAAAATTTTGTTTGTACAAACTATTATACAAATTCAACAGATTTTATGAATGTGTTTATAAGTTGGAAAATGTTTATTTGAATTTTACAAGGTAGTGCCTTAGAAACAACATTTTTATCTTTTTTTTATATTTATATACACTGTATGTGTGCAAAACATACATGGACTATCTTCATATCTTTTTACATTTGATATACTTTCAACACACACACACAGTGTTTATTGAATGCAAACTGTTTGAAAAGTATTGAATGTATATCATAATTGATAATATATGATTTGTAATACTAACTGACATTTTTTTATCAATTAAAATTTCTTTTACATTCATGACAAGTTAAATCAGAAATTTTACCCTTTGGTTTCAATGTTTGACTTCTCTCCTTATCTTTCCATATGTTTGCATATCTATTCTATATAAAAGAAAAAAGAAAACAAAATTTGCTTACATTGCAAAATAGTATCCCTTTGCATTTTTGCTTAATATGTTTTCAGTTAAAACAAGGAATCAATGAATATTCAAAATTAAACTGAAATTATTAGAGAAGATTTGGGTAAGGTATAAAAATTTCTTTATCTAACTCTACCTATTATCTGATTTAGATAAATTTTAGGCAAAGCTTATTTAGGACCAACACAAAACAAGAGAGTTCCTTCCAACAATATAACAATTTTTGTTGTGATATGAAATATGCCTTCTGTGATGTTTACAAGCATGAACAAATAGAAGCATTTCTGTATTTAAAAAAATTGACAGTGTACAAGTGAAATTGACAGAATCTTAAAATTATTTTGAATCAACAACAAAAAGAAATTTGTATAAGATTTTTTCTTTTATACTTGTACATAAATATAATATGTATATGTATGTTTTTCCTCGTTTTTGATCATGTGCATGTAAACATGTTTACAGTTCTGTGTTAACTTTAAACTACATTTCCACTGTATCTTTCTGGCTGCACTTTTGTCCAAAGCAGTATCGGAAAATACATTTGGAAAGTAAGTTTCCCGGTTTTTAGTTTTGAGGAAAAAAAATTTAAAAAATCTTTTATAGGAATGCAAAAGTAATATATTCTTCAAATGATCAATACATGATCATAATTATTACTTTCTGTCAATCAAATTATAGACTCTGTGATGATTTTAGAAAAAATTGACATTTTGTTTTTTTATTTAATAAAATGGAAACAAAATCCTTTAATCTGTAGGACTTAACATCAAAACTGCTTCATCTCAAATTGTAATATCTAAATGATGTATTTTAGCATTATTTTTGCCATGTATCAGTACATGTATATATGGGATCTATACATTTACATATATAAGAAAGTTAATGTATTGTTTTTGTTTCACAAGTAAATTCAATTGTATATTCAATGTTTTTTAGTAACAAGATAGGTAATATTCTTTCTTGATGTAAATTAATAGAGCATCATTGATTGAGCAAAAACGCATTGATTTTTGAGGTAAAATATTTTAGAAGTAAAGTTCTAGACTTTACTTCTAAAATATTTTACCTTTTAAGAAAAGACAAACTAAAACTGATGAGTACCAATAGGATCATCATTTAACAGTATTTAGCTTGTCTTTTATAATTTCCAGTAACTGGTCCCATTCAAAACATTTTATCGAAACAATCAACATATTTCCATTATGTTAATGATGCTTTATTAATATACACCAAGAAAAATATTACCTAATATTATAAACTAAACAGAATATAGAATTGAATTTACTTATGAAACAGAAACAAATAACACATTACTTGATAAAAAATTTATATATATGTGTAATTATATTAATTCATAATACATATATTAAAGAAATATGTGTGCAAAAGATATACATCATAAAT